TTTCAGCGCCTGCATGCCCCGACGCCGGCATGGAGACGGCCTCGTCCGGTCTCCCTTCGCCCGGCCGGTTAGAACGAATCGATGGCGGAAGCGGTTGTGGCGGAGCGAATGTCGATGTGTCGTCTCTTGATCCTGGCAGGTCCGGTTGTGGCGGATGCTTTCGACCAGTTGTAGAAGCCGGTTTTGAGGCTCTTCGTTCGGTTCTGGCCTTGTCTGGATTTGGGTTATCGGCGGTCGGTCCGAGCAGTTCCAACGAGACCCCATTATGCCCAGCAGCTTTGGCACGGCCCGGTTTGCCGCCATTCTGGTCTCTGCTCGGCTTTGGCGTCGGCTCTGTCTGCCTCTCTCCCACAGGTCTTCCTGGAACTACTGCTGCTGCAGATGACGTTTTTGGGGGTGTCAATCTGTGCTCTTTCGGAGGATGGGCTTCTTTTGTGGAGTCATGTTTGGGCGGGAAAAATGAAGCACTCGCGTCTACATTCGGCTCCGTCGGCCGAGGCTGTCTGTCCACTTGCCTGTCCGGTCTCTTTCTGGTTGGCATGCCCTGGAAGGTTGCATCGTCAATGGTTGGCTGAAATTTAGAGCCTGGAAGTTTAGTGCCGTCCAGCGTTTTCGGATGACTGCGCGACCTGCGAGGCTTTTTGGTGGGCCTATCTTCACTGGCCTGTTTCGGTTCAGAGGGCTCAAACGTCGATTTGGGCAATCTGAAGTCTGGCAAAGATCTGTCTCGAGCCTTTTTGTCCTTCAGGAAGCTTTCGCTTCTATCCACCGCCGGCAGAGGATCCAGAGTCTCCAGTCTACCTGACCCGGCAGATTTTGAGTCGTTGGGGCGACTGTGCCCTCCAGGTGAGCCTATTCCCCTCGAGAGGGGCGCAAGGGTAGAGGCCAGCCCAGGGTGGGACAGGGATTGGCACAACAGAACAAGCAGAACGCAACGACATGTAAGAAACGACATGGAGGGGGAGGGCAGGATACAAGTGAGGCAATTGTTGGCACATAATAATGTTGGCCTGCCTCAAGGGAAGATATTCGGTTGGAGAAATAGTCAAGTTGACAACATATATTGGGCATATGAACACGACAACAAAGACAGAACGTTCACAAGAGTTGCATATAAAGGGGATTTGTATGGTACTGGAAGGCCCAAGTACGCCTTGTGTTTGCTTTTGGTCTATAAATGAGCGTAAAGGACGTTTGCAAATTAAAACATTCTTCTAGAAGTGGGTTGACCTCGTTGTCGCAACTTGGTCTTGTGTTCAGGGAGACTATGTAGAACGCACC